TTTCCTGGAGAAGTTGGCATAACAAATGAACCTAGCTTAGTTTCTGCATCAAAGACAATAGAGTCTAGTGTGATTGTGGAGTGACAAAATGAAATTTGTTTAAAATACTTTTAATTCAGGTAGTTCTTTCCCTATAATCATTATAAATGAAGTTGCATATAGTTTTATGAAATCAATACACAATTCTATTCATCTTTCCTTTTATTTTAAAGCATCTTAGTGAAGACCTTGAGGATTCCTCGTGTTCATCAGCACAAAGAAAAATTAATAGACAATTTTACAAATTTATTATATTTCCTGGCAAATGGATAAAAATCTGGTATGATCGACTTACCTTGTTGGCACTGTTAGATAGGTAAGCTTTTAAAAATATCTCTTATACACTGAATTAATGGAATTCATTTATTCCTCAGGCCAGTGCTGACATATTAGAATGTATTAAGTGGAACACAGAGAATTCAATGGGAGAGGAGCAGTTTTAAATTTCATAGCAATTTTAGGAGTATTTATTGTGATACATTATCACAAGTCTGCTTTATGACAAATAATAAAAATATTAGCAATCCAATCAACAAAAGTCTATCCTAATTTTATTTTGGCATGCACACACTTACATATTTATTTAAATGTTCATAACTACACATTGTAAACTACACGTGATGGTGGAAAACACTTTTGCTTGAACCTGGGCCTACCCCACTCTCATACAGAGCATGGTGTGTGTGCATGCATGCGTGCGTGGGGGGGGAGTCTTATCTTAAAATACAACTGCTACTTCAGTCATAGTGTTAAATCCTTTTCCCATCTGTGTCTTTCCCCCCCTGCTGCCTGTTCCAGCAAACTCATTTCTCCTCACCCAAGCTTCAGTATCAAAATTGAGCCTTGCTGGGCAAAAATTGTCTGTGTAGGGGGGAAGGGGCAGGATGAGGCTATATATGGCATATATAATCCATTGGCTTGGGGTATATGAATACAATCCAGAGGAAGTTAAGACATTGAAGTCCTGTGTAAACCAGTAAGACTTGAATGCAATGTTACAGTCTCAGGTTACATTATTTTAACTTAACTTCTCCTGTGCCCCCAAATACTGGTAAACAGATGTCTTATACTCCATGGTTACTTTTCTATGTTTGAAATAAAAATCCTGTTTTATTCCTACAGAACAGAAGATATCAAGGAGAATGTTTTGGCAATTCTTCTAGTAATCCTTGTTTCTTTTCTTGGCTTTTTAATTATGAACCAAGGTTTTTGTAAAGATATTTGGGTCCTCCTTTTCTGTCTTATCATGGCAAGTTGTCAATATTCCCTTCTAAAGGTAAATAAAAATATTGTAGTGCATATATATATATTGTATTTATTTTGGATCCTGTAACTTCTGCAGAGATGTAAACTCATTTCTGATTCTGTTTTTAGAGCATTCAGCCCGATCCTGCTTCACCAGTACATGTAAGTTATAATAAACAAAAAGCTTTTGTTATCCATGTCTCTTGATCCATGTTATCTGCATGGTTCAGCAAATTATTGGAAAACCTTAAAATAAGCCATTGTTCTTGAATTTTAGCTCAGTCATCCTGCTTTTTAAAAAACTGTAGCTGATTATTACAACTAACTAGGAAATTTTCATTTCTTCATTTATTTGCTAGGAATAAGGCTTGTTGTGGAAATAAATACAACAAGCTCTAGAAAGAGACTCTGGGTGGGTGCCCTGTCCTTGGGCACTCAGAGTCAGTTTGCTGTGGCAACCTCAGCAGGGTATAATGACACAGAGTCCACCATTTTCTCCAGGGGAACTGATCTCTGCCATCTGGAGAGCAGTTTTAATTCCGAATGATTTCCAGTCCTCACCTGGAGATTGGCAGCAATGGTTCCCCAGGAGAAAATGGCTGGTTTGGAGGGTGAAGTCTATGGCATTGATAAAACTTTTTACACACGGAGCTGAAAGTTTTACATATACAATTGATGTGTATATCTTATGACCAGTACATGTTTCGGCTCCTTAAGGCCTTCCTTGGTGATCAATATTACTATTGTAAAACAACACACATCCAGAAATAAATATATGAACAACTTGATTGCTACCTTTGATGGAAGAGACACACATCCAGACACACTGGATATTTGTTACCAGAACAATTTGGAAAGTATGTGCCGTTACCATGAGAGATTATCCATGACCTACTATATAAACTTTTAGCAATTCCACATCACATGAGAAAGCAACACCTGGCTATAAAGACAATCTTTGTTCATATATTTATTTCTGGATGTGTGTTGTTTTACAATGGTAATATTGACCGCTGAGGAAGACCTTAAGGGGCCAAAACGCATATGGTCTACTGGTCATAAGATATACCCATCAATTGTATATATAAAACTTTCAGCTCTGTGTATAAAAAGTTTTAAGAGCCTGATATTTGGATCATTTCTTTTAACCTATTTTATCTTTTACTAATGTGTACACCATAATATTTGTATTTTTATAATAACTTATTTTGTTAGCTTGACCCTCATATATCACAGCCATATCTTGGGTTGAGCCCCCCCCCCTTCCCCTCAGTCTATGGCACTGTACCTGTCTGAGGTCCCACCCCTCCTCAAACCCCACTCTCTCCAGGCTCTCTCCACTCCGCAAATCTCCAGGAATTTCCCAACCTAGAGTTGGCAACCCTGTCTCCTTCCCAGCCAACCATCAACCTACCTTTATCTGCCAGTCTGACTTCAGCTTTCCATCTCCTCCCTCCCTCCCTGCAGCCTCTACCTAGGAAAAGTACTGTCTTTCTCCACAGTAGGGACCAAAGCAGCTTACATCAATCTCTTCTCCCCCTTTTGATCTACACAACAACCCTGTGAGGCTGAAAGTCTGTGACTGGTCCAAAATTACCCACTCAGCTTCCACAGCAAGAACCTGGGTCTGGCAGACTCTGCTCTGAAGTGCTAACTGCTATGCCACACTGGCTGTCCCAGGGGGGCTGCCACTGGTGAACAGGAGCAAGCAGCCATGCCTTAGTTGTCATGCCAGTCAGGTGTCATCAAGTCACCCAGAAGGTCCTGCCAGACCTAGGGTAGCCAACCTACAGGTGGAGCCTGAAGATCGCCTGGTATCACAACTGAACTCCAGACAACAGATCTTTCTCCCTGTGGAGAAAATAACTGCTTTTGAGGGTGGACTGTATGGCATTCTGTTCAGCTGAGGCCTCTCCCCTCCCCAAGCTCTGGCTTCTGTAGACTCCAGCACAAAATCTCCAGGAATTTCCCAACCTGGAGCTGGCAACCCTAGTCAGGACTGGCCCCAGTGAGTTCCCCACAAATGCCAAAGTAGGCCTGGAAAGGGCCTCCCGCCCCTGACTTTCTACTGACAGAACCAAGCAACAGCCACTGAGGGGAAAGTGAGCCCACAGCAGGAGGAGAAGAGAATGGTTTGATGGCCGGTGGCTCACCTTAGTATCCAGCCAGCCACAGAGAAGTCAAGTAGGAGAAGCATCTTTGTCAGGAGAGACAGCCATTTTGGCAGTTTATTCTGACAGGGAAGAGTGGCCAAGCCAGCAGTGGGTGGGGGAAAGGAGCGGACCCAGCACCCAGCCAGCGGCACATGAGTACTCTTGAGTGGTGGTTGACAGGCCAATGGCTGTTGGAGTGCACAGCACAGCCAATGGGAGAGCTGGACAGTGCCAATAAGCTACGGCTTTTATATATATATAGGATTGATAGCATTTCTTTTGCTGCTTTTACAGCCAAGTAGGATACCCAAGGCAGCAAACATAACATTTAAACATTAAAACACCAAGCCACTAAAATATGTGTATATAAAATATTTAAGCATTCCCACAAAACATATAACTGTAAATGGGAAAACATCCAGCGAAACAAAAAAATACACACCTAATTAGATAATATGGCATATGGTTATTCCTTAATAAATGAGTAATCTTTTTAGTGTAATCAAATCAAGTTTGTATTCTAGGAACATGATGATTAAGTAGTATCAAACTGACATAAATGGGATCCACTAATGGTAGGGGGGGAAATTCTCTTATCCCATTCCCAGTTGTCCTAGTGTGCTTGCAGATGTTATTTAGAAGTGTTTGAAAGAGAGGTGTGACTTGAGCATTCATTCTTTTTCCACATGTTTCAAAGAGCGATTCACACATCTTACACAATAAGGAGGTATATGTTAGATAGATATCTAGAAATCACATATCTCCCCACATGTGAGATGGATGAGTCATAACTTCACATGTTAGCCAGATGTGTGAAAAGGGGATTTGTGCAGGTCACTTTCAATCTCTCTCTTGCTGTTTCTGTCTCTTTGTTAATTTTTAATCTGGGAGAACTGGGTTTGATTCCCCACTCCTCCACTTGCAGCTGCTGGATGACCCTGGGCAAGCCATAGTTCCGTCAGAGCTGTCCTTGAAAGGGCAGTTCTTTCAGAGCTTTCTCAGCACCACCTACCTCACAGGGTGTCTGTTGTGGGGAGGGGAAGGGAAAGGAGTGTGTAAGCTGCTCTGAGACTCCGAGTGAAGGGCGGGGTATAAATCCAATCTCCTCCTCTCCTCCTACTCCACAATTACTGCACTGAATACATAACTAGGATTTCCTTCTAAAAAAAGATAAAATGTATAGATTGTAGCCTGATTACCAGATTTGAAAATAATTATTTATTATACGCAGGCCAGAAACACTTTTAAAATGAGAAGTACTACCTGGGAAATTCATTTGGCTGCTCCTTTGGACGCACCCTTTTGCTATTTCACTGAAAGTTACATGCTTTTTGTGTGCTTTTTGATTCCTACACAGTTCAAAAACTGTCTGAATATTTAGACATGTATTCCATGTGTTATCAACTAATTTATCTCTAATACTGTGTAGATGGCTGTGAGCACAGCCTTTCCTCCCCCACCAAGTTCCTGAGTAAATAGCACAGGATATAATATTTAGTTATAAATGCTGCCTGAAATCAGTGCATCCAACAGTCTTTTCTGGAGCACTTCTTCAAATGGTTGGAGAGTATAGTCTGATTTTGATTTAACGGGGAGCAGGAAGAGATTGGTGACAATTGTATTTTAAGTTACTTTAATTAGGTCCATAGTGATGAGCATATGCAGAATAGGATTTTGGCAGCTATGAAACATGTGAAGCTTCCTTGTCCTGAATCCAGCCATTCAATTAATCAGAGCCAATATTGTTTACTCTAAGTGGTACCAGTTCTCCAAGGTTTCAGACAGAGATCTTTCTCAGAATATGCTAGAAATTTGTGGAATCTTCTGCATGCATGCTGTTCTACTGATTTGTGGGTCCTTTTAAAATTTCCTAATGTACAGGCCTTTGCTGCACACCAGTGAGAGAGACTCAAGGTTCAAATCCACAGCCCAGTGGGCTCAAACCTAATGAGATTCTGGTGTAATTTATTTATTTATTTATTTATTTATTTAAAACATTTATTAGTTGCCTTCCTTCCCTAAAGGGAAATTTATAAAAAGTAAAGTAGGTGGGTTTTATTATCAAATTCATGCCAATGTACAGTTGTAGCTGATGCCAAAATTAATCGAGTTTTACTACCTTACTTTTCTCAGACCTCCCCATCATGGTGCATGGAATATCTCAGAGACATCAGAGTTTAAAGGCATTTCATATTTAAATGCAGAGTGGGCACTGCCATTAAACAGCACATTAGTTTACAGTTCCACTTGTTATCAGGGCTCTAGTCGGGGGAGAGCTCTCAGGTACGGAGCTCCGGAAGAGAACCTCTAGGGGGTGGGGCAGTCACATGGTGAAGCCCCGCCCCCTTCTTTACCCCGCCCTCTGCTTCGATCCTCATTCCATTTGGGAATGAGGATGAAGCAGGAGGGTAAGTAGCCGGGCCTTCTGACACACTTCCGGTGATGTCAGGGGGTGTGGCCTTCTGTCACTTCCGGTGATGTCAGGGGGCGTGGCATATGCAAATAAGTTATGCTAATGAGTTATGCTAATGAGCTCCGGCAGCTCTTTTTCTACAACAAGACCCCTGCTTGTTATTACGTATGATGTTTTCAATGATTTTGAAGAAATCGATATTTAAACCTCTCTAAAGAGGTAATTTTCTCAGTGCTAAATATAAGTTCTGTTTGTTGGTTCAGCTGTACACAGTAACATCAATTGTAATCAGATCCGTTGTTTGGGCAGGCAGTGATAATGTGGTCACATTTGTTTTAAAATGAGAAGAAATTGTTTAATCAAAATTGCATTATAATAACATCAAAGCTTGATTTGCTGGTAGTGTCAGAAACAAAGAGCATAATGATTTTTAATGAAAGCATTTTTCACATAAACAATGACTGAGGGGTAACATGATAGAAGTTTACAAAATTGTGCACGGGATAGGGAAGATAAGTACTTTTCTCCCTTTCTCACAATACAAGAATTTGGTGGGCACTCAAATCACTGAGGAATAGGCTTGAAACAGATAAAAGGAAGTACTTCTTCACCCAAACGGTAATTAACACATGGAATTCACTGCCCTAGGAAGTGGTGGTGGCTACAAGCATAGACAGCTTCAAGAGGGGATTGGATAAAGATATGGAACAGAGAGTCCATCAGTGGCTACTAGCCACAAGGTATAGATAGGAACTCTCAGTCTGGGGCAGGTGATGCACTGTATTCTTGGTGCTTGGGGGGGGGCAACAGTGGGAGGGCTTCTAGTGTCCTGGCCCCACTGCTGGATCTCCTGATGGCACCTGGGTTTTGGTCACTGTGTGACACAGAGTGTTGAACTTCGTAGGCCATTGGCTTCATCCAACATGGCTTATCGTATGTTCTTATGACCAGTTAAGAACATAAGAGAAGCCAATGTTGGATCAGAACAATGGTCCATCCAGTCCAACACTCTGTCATACAGTGGCCACAAATACCAGGTGCCATCAGGAGGTCCAGCAGTTGGGAGGTGACCTCTACCTGAGACCCTGGAGAGCTGCTGCCTGTCTGAGTAGACAGGACTGACCTTGATGGATCAATGGTTTGATTCAGTATAGGGCAGCTTCGTGTGTGTTCAAGTTGATTGACAGTAAGTTCAGGACAGCCAAAAGGAAGTGCTTCTTCATACAGTCCCCTATCTGGAAACTAATTAGATCCTTGAGGCTACTGGGATGGATCATCTTAATCAATCCCTCACCCTGCAGAGTCTTGGTATCCCCGTAAGTCTAAATGCCATCAAACAGTGATACGTAAAAATTTAAAAACCTTTGAAACTAACTCAATACTACAATTGACAGCTTCATTGGAAAAAAAAAAACTGCTGTGTAAACAGCAGCAACTTCCGGATGGCTGGATCAGGCTGTCTCAGACACTTGGCAGTGGCGAATCAAGAAAGTTTTGACCATCTTTCTGAAAACTTAGTGACTGGGCCTGCGATCATGCAAGGGTTTTGCCTCTTTATCCATTTCTTTCTTTCTTCTATTTCCCCCTTTTTGACAAGATTTAAAAAAGTTGCCATTATTACACTTCAGAAATTAACAGCATCCTTTCCCATGGCTTTCTGAATATGAAAGCTTGGGAATGAAACTGAACATTTTGGGATGAAGTAGTGCTGCGTAATGAATCTCAAGCAAGCATTTCTAAAGCATTTAAACTGAAGCATGGATGCCATTCAACATTGTTCCATGTATAGGCATGATGGAGTGCCATATTGTACTCCTCTATAATTCACAGAACTGCATTAGAGTGAAAGTGTACAAGGTGCCTTCATGCTACTGCAAAAACATACAACAGCATGGAGATTAAAGAATGATCAGAGTTCTGTTTATCCTAATGTTTATGGTCATTGTTAAAGTTAGAGAAGAGTGGGATAATGGAGGAATGATATTCTATCTGTTTTTTCTTGGATTTTAAGGTAAAAGCCATAATGCTTTTTTTGCCCCTTTGGTCAGAGTTTGGAGCATGTGCCCATAATTTTGAAACAGAGACTCAGGATCCTTTCTTACATGACCTTTTAGCATTGTTGGAGCTGCTGCATTATGGCTTCTTTGTGCATGGTAGAACAGTGTTGCTTTATGGAGGCTTGTGTTTTGCCCCTTGGGCTCCTCCCGTGTGGCCTGGATCGTCTTCATTACTGAGTAGCATTGGAACAAACTTTTCGCACCATTGAAGATGGCATCACAGGGAGCCTTCACAGTTCTCAGAAGTGTGAGTGAGGATAATGCTTGGTCAGACTGTGCCTAACAGAGCTGAAAGGAATAGGTGACATTATCAGGAGTGAACCGGAAAGTAAAAACGGCCCTCAGAACAAGCCAGACTGATTTGCCCTTGTGGTATTACAGGCCAGGGCTGCAGGGGGGCCACTCAGCACAGGGCATTAGCTCATCCATTTCTTCCTTTTTCAAACAGAAGTATTGGAGACAATGGATGAGCAGATACTGTGCACTATTGCTGATTATATGAGTCATGTGCCCCTTGAGTAGCTGGCAGAGTTGCTGGGGCTTGGCTTGTGCATATTGTTGTTGATATTGGGTGTTAGAAAAAAACAATGGTTATATTTATAAGGATTTTGAAGTTACTCAGATTGCTTCTAATGTATTTTTATTCAACAGTATTTAATATGTATATGTAGATATTGTTCCTTGTCATGCTTAATGCTGTCTACATTTTTTTACACATGAGAAGATATTATGCCAGCATTAAATAAATATGTGTATATATATTTTTTGTTTTTTAGGGACACAACCAGATCATAACTTATAGCAGGCCTGTATATTTTTGTGTACTGTGTGGCCTTATTTTGCTGCTAGATGCTGGGTCTAAAAATAAAAGTACATCCATTTATACAGTATACGGCCTGAAGATTTTCTCACCTGGATCACTTCGGGCAGCCAGAGACCATGCAATAGGTGAGATAAAATAGCTGAAAATTTAAGCATGGGCAGTTGATCCTTGAAATTGTACTGAGCCATTGAGTCTCTTTGCACTTTTATCTCTGAGGAATGGGGAAGTGGTGAGGAATAAGCCTTTAAATGTAATGATCAGTCTTATGTGTGCTCCACTCACTCAAGCATTCATAGCCTCTGATCCATGGAATGGAAGATGCTGGTGCAGAAGTCATCACTATTGGTTTTCTTTCATACGTCTGACATTTTCAGGATGCTTTTTAATGTTTTTGTTACTTAGTTGCATAATTTGTGTTTGTTTCTTTAAGGATCTGAAGTGGGCAGATAGTAGTTATTGTTAAGTATTGTTATGTTATTGTTAAGTATTAAGTAAATATGAATAACGTCCTCTGTCTTTAAACATTACTTTTCTGGTGCTTCTTCCTCGAGCTATCCTTCTGGCCACCCTGAGTCATTCCAAATATATGTTTATGAGGGAAATCTGCTTTTTCCCCATGTGCATTTCCAAAACTTCTGTTTGTAATGGCAAACATAGGGAGGTGGTAATGTGGGGGAGGGGGAGGGGGAGGTGAAGTAGAAAAGTGGCAAAAGACAGTTTAGCAGCTCCTCCCTATACTACTTCTTTTTTAGGCTTGCCAAATTCTACTTCCTCAAGTCTGAGGAGCCTAATCAAGCACATTGGGTGTTGCATTACTTACCAGATACATTGTTTTTGCTCCAAGCAACTACCCAAAAACACTGGGGAGGGATGGGAGAAAACATATTTTTACCTGACCTTTACAAGTTCAGGATAGGGTTTGTTCCCTTACTCTTCTCAAAGAGCATCAAAGTTTGTCAAGGAGAGATTCAGAAAGCACGTCCGTCATAGCTGTGACTTCTCTCATTGGCTAAGCGGACTTGTCTCTTACTAAATGTTTGGGCAGAACACTGTCTTCATATTTTGTCTTGTGTCTCTGGATCTACAAAAGCTAGTAGATGCTTACTTTTTCTGTAAATGAAATCTGGGCTGGCTAATGGCCCAAATGGGCGCTGGGTGGGAGATCAAGTATCTAGATAAAACTTAGGTAGAATCCACACATCATTGACTTTTGTGACTTAATTTTCCCTTACAGACACGAGGTAAATGACTGCAATAGTGCAACATCCAACTCTGTATATATCCAGGACTTGACACCCAGGTTATAGGCGATCTTATTTTTTGCTTCAAATTGTTCCCTCCCAAAACTGATTTTCCTTAATAAAAAGTGGGCACCGATACTTTGTTTCATGAGTTTGCTTGTAATGTTTAGTTACTGTATATTACATTTCCCCTGTGTTCTAAAGTTCAGTGCTTCCAAGATGTATATGGTCCCTGATAAGGACTGGGAACAAAGTGTGTGGAGAGACGGAGGTTAGACCTCCCCCACTCTGCACCATTTCCCCAATATGAAACAACTCCGGGGGGGGGGGGGGCTGTTCTCCCTATTGTAAAAACCTCATATGTAGCTCATCAATATATGTCCCACTCCAGTCAATGACAAGCCACCTCTCTGAAACATCCAGGCCCTACTAGGGGCCACCAGATGTCAACCATGACTTCCATGCAAACACACACAGAGACACACAAAATACTCACAAAAATATGGATTGTTTGTGTTTTAACTGATGCTTTGTATTTATGTTTTATTGTGTATGAATACTGCTTGTCAGTTTTGGAAGCCGCCCTGAGCCCGCTTGCGGGGAGGGCGGGGTAAAAGTGGAATAAATAAATAAATAAATAAAATATATATGTCCCACTCCCAGTGGCCATTTCAGCTGACTGTGAGATAAGAACTTTGTATAGTGGTTCTTGGCTGCTACTATTGTATGAATATTAACAACTAGCACTTTAGTATGATTTTAGAATTTGTTTTAATGGTAACATATGTCTTAATTTAACTACCTGTTTTTATGTAAGCTGCCCTGAGCCGGCTTCGGCTGGGAAGGCGAGGTAAAAATCTTTCCACACAACCCGGGGACATTCCTGGAGAGAATAGAAAGTGTAGTTAGGCCCTTGGACTCCCAGGTTAGTCACACAGGAAGTACTATTATTTTGATCTGATTCTCAAATTTAAGACAAAAAGAAAAAAGAAACACCCTGTCTCAAAAGTGGTGTTGAATGCAGATCAGAATACATTGTAACATTTTAGGAGTTCTGAAAAGGTTTGGCAACTGGAAAGGAAAAAAAGACTGACTAGGTGTTTTCTTTTCAGGAAAGTTGTTAGAAAAATTATGACCAGGTTCATACCCCCACCACTAGTGAGTTTTAGCAAGAAGGCACATAATTGAACCTCCTCAAATGCAAGTACTGCTTTGATGTGCAAGGTAGCTAGAGACTATTATTTTGATAAATGTGGAATTTTACTTCGGGGGAAGTAGCGGAAGCTGCACCCTCTGTTCAAGGATCACAAACTATTGGTGGGATCGTATGGGAGAGGGGTCTGCAGACTGATGTCCTTGTTTCACAGAAGTGTAGTAATACTCTGTTGATCTCATGGCTGCAGCCTACATATAACTGCTTCCTTGCTTCCATAGAGGTGCTACCGAGATCGGCTTGTTAGCCTGCAGCAACCAAAACATCGAGGAGCAGGGCTATTTTGGGGCAGGAACACACAGGAATGGAGTTCCGGCTGGCTTCAGAGATGGCCATGCCCACTACAGCCAAAACCTCTGCATGCGTGGCTACAGAGGGAAGGCCTGGAGAGCGACCCCCCCCAGCGACTCCGAGGCAGGCGGGCGGGGCCCCCCTGCAAGGATCGGGGATGCATTTAAATGCCTGCCTTCCCCGGCCTATCCAAGGGCTGGCTTGCCACGGGGCATCCAGGCAAGCCAAGGGAAGGCATGGGGTGGGGCCTAATATGCTGATGAGTTTCTGAAGCTGGGTGTGGCCTATCATGCTAATGAGTTCCTGCTGGGCTTTTTCTACCAAAAAAGCCCTGATTTATGTTATTTCTAGTCTGCCTTTCTCACTGAGAATCAAGGAAGATTACACAGCATAAGTCAAATACAATGAAGAAGAAAGGACATCCAATAAACAATGCAATAGGGTTTGGAATGCAGAAATTGGTAACAAATCTGAAACACAGCATAAGCATTTAAAAATGATGTGTTAAATGAAGAAGACATTTCAGACAGAGCAACAGACATAGAACAACATATAGTACACAGTAGTGTAGTCTGATGTCTGTATCCCCTTACAAAGCCGTCTTTCTGAATAATTTCATTGCAATATCGCCCTATTACCTGTGTAAAAGAGCCCTCTTGAATAATTTAGGTTTGTGTCATGTGCAGAAAACCAGCAGAGTGGGAGCCTTCATGACCACATGAGGCAAGCCATTCCATAATTCCGTATTGTAGGGTCCACAATAGAAAATGCACACAAACTGGTGGTAGTTGACTTCCCCAGTTTTCAGATTGGCACTTGCAGGAGGCCTTGCTGCAGTGACCAAAACTGTAGTGGCAGAACATTAGGTGGTCCTGCTGATAAGAAGCACCATGACCATGAAGGGCTTTCCATGTGATAGCCAGTGCCTTGAGTTAACCCTGGTAACTGATAGACATTCTGTAAGCCTAAACTACCTCGCAGGATTGTTGTGAACATAAAATGAAGGAGAAGAGAACCATGTACATTGCCTTTGAAGAGAAAGTGCAGGATAAAAATGTACTAGGTAAATAGGTGGGGCAGAATAGGAAGAAGTTATTGCAAAAGGTGTCCAGAAGGTAAGGCAATCGTGATAGATACGTTACATTACTATACGCGCAGGAACCAGATCCAATCAAAGGAGAAAAGGAGTGGCTGTGGACTACTCTCAGCTGGTAGGCCATTAAGGACCCTTGTATGTTTTCATTTTAGAAGGGGACTCTTTGTTGTGTCCCAAACAACAAAGTTGTTAGATAAAGACCAGAAGAGAAAATGTGCTTATCCTAATCACCACTTTTAAGCAGCCACTTTGCCCGCCTTAGAGAGTTGTTTTTCCCTTTGAGAACTGTGGTGGTGAATATTAGGACAATTTGTTGGAAACTGCTTTTAGAATGTAGGATAATCTTCCTAGGATAAATGAACAATATTCTTCTACGGAACACTAAGGTTATAAATCAGATGAGCTGGATGCTCTGTCCCATCACTCTTTGTGGTACTTCTGAGTAGTTGATGTTAAAGATCGTGGAATGTATTATGTGAGTTTTGTGAGATCGCTTCCTACTATAATTATTTATTGAGGGGAAACTGCACCACTTATTTTGGTTAGCTTTTTAATGAGAGTTTCCTTTTGCTTTCATCAAAGTTTTTCTTTGCTTATTTGTATTCTTGTCAAAGGTGATAAATAATTCAGACTAAATCCTAAATGACTCCTGGGGGAAAAGATAAAGGGGGGGATCTGTAGCAGCCTCAATAAAATGTTCTAGTTTTGTCTGCCCTTAAAGATATTGTTCAGAAACCTGGGGTTGGGAGGAAAAAGTTATCCTCATTTTGAACTTATAAAAAATAGGTGCAACAATGTAACAGGACTAAGAAAAGAAGTTTGGCAACACACAGAAGAAGCCCAAGAAGATTAATTGGACACTACTAACAGTTTAATTTACCAGTTTATATATCACTCAGCTTTCTCTTTCTCCCACTGTCTACCCCTTCCTTTTTTTCTTTTAAGCGAAATACCTCCCCTTTTTAGGGGAGCCAATAAAACCCATTTCTTGAGCAATAAATTGCAGGAGAAAGTAGTGGATTTCCACAGAGCTAGGGGCATGTGTTGTGTTCTCTCCTGAGCATGATGAAAAACTTTTCTTAGATCTGAGAAATGTTTTGCGTTTTTTCATCCACCTTCCCAGAGGGTTGGAGGAAGTAGAACATTCAGAGACAATCTATTTCTCCTTTCTTTCTTGAGCATTAAGAATTCCAGAAACATCACAGATAGAGCAAGAGAGGAAATATGGATGGGACAGAAGATGATGGGGAATTTAAAATTAGAGGACTAAGTGAAACCTGTGAG